TTCTGTAATGAATGAGAACACAAGTGAGGACAATCGAATATACTTGAACACACAAATTACAGAACTTCTTAGTAAAATCTGAGAACCATACAGTAAACACTTCATTTGAAATATATCAGTACATCGTCTCAGACTTCACTGTTCTTTTGTTTCCACACCAATCATGCTCTATTCTCATTCTCTTTTCTTCGATCTTATTAACTTACCACAGCTAGGTATTTCAATTTCGACTAATGATACATGTTACTTATATCTATCGACATCAGTAGCACACCAAACTTCTACTGAATTCCACATACTTTTAATTTTATTAACGTAGTGATCAATTCGGTAACACTGAAAAATGTGATAATCTAAATTATGCTTCGTGTACAATAAAAAAGTTCATTCATCGAATACAACTACAACGACTTTATCTCGAATCTCATATCAATGAGCGTTAAATTTATGATTTTATAATAAAAACAACATGACCTTGAACAATAATTTCGTAAGTTCTAGCATGTGCAGTAAGTATAAGTATATGCGAACAAATAGTTGTGTACGTAAATGTAAAGCAAACACATGTAGTCAAATATATCTAATCTAATTGAATTTAATCTTTTTTTCTCAAACTATGACAAAACAGCTGTTCAGTATACCCTAAATTTTGATAATTCTCTAGCTGATATCATTCTGTAATGAAAACATACTGATTCTTATTGACTAACCACTCGCTATCTTTTACACATAACTCCGCTTACAAGCCTTCTACAGTTTCTTTTAGTCCGAAGCTTGAATAAAGGAGGAGGGTTTAGTTTGACATTATCAAATTCATTCTGTAAAAAGAACCTTGCTAAAAACATATTAGGCAGAAAAAGTAGACAAAAATATCATTGTTTATACATCCTTTTGTTCATCCTACTTCACGCATTGAGTAATTATCAAATAAGGATATAATATGGTTAGTAATTGAATTATTGTGTTGTTTTCATTAACGTCACATTTTCACACGCTGCAGCTATATTATACTATTCAAGTACAGATGATAAACCGATAATTGGAACGTTAGCGAGGACAGGTTACTTAAAATCCTTGATTGATATTCACCTATCATTACCAATGTTTATCCTAAACTTCGTTATCAATCTTTTTTATAAAGAATTCAGACTTGTTGCTGTTTTAACTGATGAGGATTAGTTCATAAGAATAGTTCTGTTATTATATATCTTCGAGTTTCGGTGTATTAAGAATTTCTAACGAATCAGACGTTTAGTTAACTTGAAAGTATTTCAGTATGTGATTTTAACAACAGGGTTTGAGAAAAAAATATTATTTCAATTAGTGTCAGGCACATAGAAAATTCTTTAACCAATCAGTCTATTGAAGAACAATGAAGAAATCGACCATTGATAGAGAAAACTGGTTGGGACTTTATGATAAAACTGACGAACGATTAGGTTATACCAACCGTTATACTTCAGTCTGGTTGCTAAACATTATAATGTTGTTCATTGAAAGTTATACAGAATTCCATTAGATTCAATCCCTTTAATATTTTATATTCTATAGTTTCAAAATATTTCACGCACGAATTATTTAACTCAATAAATACCATGATTCTAACTGCCTGTTCAACACACAAGTGTTTGTGGTAATTAGCATCATACAACTAAACTAATACTGCACAGAAAATCGATTTCAATTTCTATGTGCAAAATACATATTGAAGAATTTTCAAGACTTATCGAGCAACCAATAGTTTATGTCAGCAAATTATAATTAAATTTCGGGGCTTTATTTGTTAACCTTCATCGAATCATTAACAAAGTTATTATTTACAAAATGGCAGATAACCAATTTTTAAGAAAGTTGGATATTCAGCAAAATAGCGTTATCCAAATATCGTTGAATGAAACAGTAAATTAAAATGATTTATAATTATAATATTATCATTTTAGTCTCTAACATTTTTCAACAAGCCCTAAAGTTTCAAGAACATAATGATTTAATTTTTAGTTATCATCCTAATAGACAAACTAACAGAATACTGAGTGATGTGTGCTTTAACTACTTGTTAAGTAATATGATAGAACTTTTAAAAGAAACATTATTGGCATTGTTGACAATAAGACAATATATCTATAATCAGTCGATCTCCGTAATCAAGTTTCATAACTTAATGTCAATTCTATAATAAACCAGATCTTCAGTTTTTGACTTGGCTTGATTTGTTCAACGAATCGTTTGTAATATATATATGTATACATAAATGAAACTTGATGTATAATACCGCTTTTTAATAATAATTATTTCCGATATAACTGAATAAAAAAAGCATTTCCTTAGTAGATTGTTCTGAATTTCATTCCACAACATTTTATTACTTTTATTTTAATTGATATTTTATACGACTAATTTAAGAAACCCTGAGATGATGGTGTTCCTGCAGATGTCTAATCGGATACTGAAAAAATAATAAAGTTTTGTTTTACATAATGATCAAGAGGAGGGTAGAGATGTAATGCTTCTTAACAAAGAAATTCTTCAAGCTGAAAATGATTAATCTAAAGTATTTGTAAATTATAGATGTGAAAGATGTGTATCAAGTTTTATAAACGATGTGAAATTTCGGAAATTGTTTAGTTTTGTTATTTTTTTATAATCCTTATAATCAATGTAATTCATTCAATATTCAAAACCCTGTTAATACAATGTTTGGTGGTTTGTGATTTGAAAATGCTATGTATTTTACTAATGAAAAGAATTTTCTTGTTTTTAGAAATTATGTTGTGACTTATGCCCTTGTCAATTATCATTTAACAAAAACGCCAATCAGAATATTGATTTCCATAACTTTGTTCCTGTGCTGAACCAATGACATGTCAGCCAGCACTAGCAATCTTGAGTCAACTGTTAATCCTCGATAGAGTAGCTCTTTGTCTAGTTCTTACCGTTGATTCCGGAACACAATATGCGTTTCTACTGTATGAACTACTTATTTCAGAAATACGTAGTTTATATACAAGCAGACCAGACTGCATCACATCATAAAATGAAGAATGTCAGTTATACAAGATCAAATCAAAAGTGACTGTGAGTGTGAGAGACTATAACTAATAGATTAGAAATAACTTAAGAATAGTAAATCGTATAATAGTAGCTAATGGGTCAAATAGAAAGCTTATTATATAATAAATACGAATAAATCGATTTCTATCGTGATTATGGCATGATTTTTTTTAAAGATCATGAGTTCTGACTTGAGACTTTCAAAGCACACAATACTATACAGCGATTCAATTACTCAATACCATGGTGATTCCGGACTTAGTCTGATGCAGAAGTGTTATTGTAAATTTTTAGTAATCTGAAATTAAGATAACATAGCTATCAAATTTTCACTGGTTTTTGAATGTTTACTAACTGATATAAGTTCACGCCATAAACGCCTTCATATTTTTTTAATAAACTTGCCATTGATTGATTATTAGCATTATGATGTCTAGTCTTCATTGATGACAAAATTTTGTGAACCAAGTTGGTGCGCTAGAGAACTATGTATCTCTGTTTGGTGAAGAAGTTTGTTTCTCGTTAGGTGACTGTCAATAACTGATGACATGGTCTAACTCCAGTTGGCATAAGCTGTCAGAAATATTTAATAATTACCATTGTTTTCGTGGGGTTTGAACTTACGTTACTCAGTCTCTTAGTGAGACTCATCTCCATTAATTCTTAAACAAAAATGAAGGAAAACGTAATGTTTCTTATTATCATTGTTGTTGCTTTTAATGTTATTAATATTATTATAGAAGAAACATCCATCTTAAATTCTTAATCCATTGAACAACCCTAGCTCACATTTTGTATTAAAAATTATAACAACTAATAAAATGTATAAGTTTAAGTCTCCCATACTCTGAATCATTTTTGTATGAATGGAAAAGATATGATATTTAATTGAAACCGAAAGTAAATAACAATAATTTGTTTGTCAATAATCTATTAGTTTTCAGATAGTTGAGTTGATATAAAAAGTAAATGACTACTAAAATATAAAATTGAATGTATCTGACATCACTTTATATCCTTAATTACTTAAGATATATTGAAAAATTATCTTAACTACTGATCTGATCTAATTAAATGATGACAGTCATATATTTTTATTCATTGATTCTAACAAAACATCAACTCAATTCTATTTTAGAATGCCTAAATATAAATCTACTCTAAGATAAACAATTAAATGTATTTCATATAAATGAATTAAATGGAAATTATTTACAATTTATTTTAAATGAACATTAGCAATTTATAATGGAATGTCAAAACTTTTAAATACTATAAACATGGCTTAAGATCAATTTGCTCATGCATATATATGTATGTATATATTAATTGTATGGAGTTTTAGGGAAATACATTTCATTCATGAGAATCACGAAACAAATCCGTCATAATCTTAATTTATCTAATTGACATAAATATAAATGAACAGATTCTATGGTGAATATCATTGTTATTTACACAAACTATTAAGAACACACATTGACACTGTTGTGAACATAAATGAAAATTACAAGCTATGATTGATCAAATTTCAATTATCAATAACTCATTTTTGAATGAATATGCTTAATTAATCCAAATAAATTTAATTAGCTTTTTGTTAATTTTTTATTTTCTAAATCAGTGAATTTACTGTTCACTTGTCAGAGAATAATCGTTGTAATTATCCACTACTTAGGTTAACTTTTAAATGAATGACCATTTATCATTAACTCTATGTTAATTGAATCTCGTACACATGATGACTATGAAAAAAAGTTAAATGGTTATAATCACCGAAATATAAACAATCATGGATAATAAATTAACGGGATTCTTTGTATATTACATGGTAGATAAATGAGAGTTATAATAATTATTCATTTACCGATAATTTTCATATTCTTTTGACATTTTGATCATTAATTTGTTCGTTTTATTTATTTATTTATTTATTTTTTTTTAGTTTTACGTTAGTTGAATGAAGAACGAACTATTTATTATTGACCAATCAGCTTATCCCAATGTGTTTGTCTATCTATCCCTCAATAATCTGGTTAAATTAGATGAAATTAATTACTATGCGGATTATGAAAAAGACTTAAATTAATAAAAAAATTTATACTGTAAATTATACATAAAATTTATTCAAGTATGTAAGGAACAAATTGTTTATCAATATAATTTTACTGTAAAATGAAATAACGATGATGTTTCATTTACATGTGTTAATATATTTGATATTCTATTGTTAAAATACTATCAATTTCATTATGATTATTAATGGTTCACTGCATATTTAATAATAATAATGTGCAGATATTTTTGGGGGAAACATTCAATTACAGAATAAGGTAAGTAATTCTTAGTTTAGTTGTGATAAAGTAATCATTTTCTTCATTCAGTATTAACATTTTTCTAAGTTGTGTGGATTCAGATAAAATTTATTGAGATTTGATAATATATCAGTTGTTGAACAAGAAATGTATCCATATCTTTTAGTGTTAATGAGTTTTTATGATAGAACTAGATGTTTTTTAAATGATACTGTGAGTAAAGTTAAAGAATTAAATTTAATGAGTCTGGTAGTTTTAAAACTGTAGTTTTATTTTCGTAATAACACTTTATTCATTATCAATGCAGAAAACAATATGTTTCACAAAAAGAAAAGCTTTTATGGTGAGACTATAATTTGTGGACAATCATTGAGCAACGTTGAAGTGACCTTGAGAGAGTCCACATGATAACTAAGACCAAATGATGGTTATATACCAGTATGAGGAATTAGAATTATGATTTACAGTTGACAGTTAGGGTTATAAATTAGATTTAGGGTTTTCATCACGAACCAACATCAGCTATAATGCTAAAAATCTATTAATCCAAATGGATTAGTGAGACCTGTTATCTTATACGTGATTGATTCGTTCATAATTTGTAGTCTCGTTGCTAATGTTTGCTGAAGATGAAAATCGTTATGAAAACATTATTGTTATATATACATTTCATCTCCTGATATCATATTCTAGAGTTTGGTTTCAAAATAAGCTTACATTAGGATATATTTCAAGCATAATACTTTATAGTTGTTTGCTAATTATGATTTCCACATTACTAACATTAGGTTAGTTTTAATTTACTCATTCATAGAATTTAAATTTATGTATTCTTCGTGTACATACCATTTATTCATGATTTAAACTTGTTATTAAATGTAACTACTGACAAAATACAAACTGTATTATTTGTTGTACACTGTTTAAATAAATAAGAATTAGAATGTATTTTTACTTAAACATGGTTGATTACAGTTATTTGTAAATTGTTTAGTCATCATCTGAACTTATGTAATATATTTTACTTAAACGTAGTTCACTAATTTTGGTTATATATATATATATATATATATATATGTATTGTTAAGAAACATAACAGAAAAAGTTTAGGAAAATATGATACGCAACTGACATGATTGGTACAAAAATATAAGGAGATCGACTGAATCCAGAAAACAGATCTCAAATGATATTACGACGATTAATTTTTATTGATTTTCTTTATATTAGTTTAGAGTTCGATTTTAAATAAGCTTTGAATGAATAAACCGCTGCACCAACTAATTGACAGAGCATTGTATGGTTTAGAAATTTGGGTGTAAAAATGTATCGAAATAAAAGTGCTACAATTAGTAAAAATAAGCAATCTAACAAATAATGTTTCATTCATTCACTAGCACTTAAAGATGGAAACAGAATATTCTGTTAGTGTAACTATACTTTTTGAATGTAAACTGAGATATTTCGTAAGCAGGGATGGAAAGTGGTTGGCAGTGGAATCTAGAACATGCCTTTCATCCCATTTGGGACTCGTCGGTTGCTTGCACCTGTATTCAAGAGTTGATGTCTATAGCAATATCAAAGATGCACATATGTCAATAACAAAGTGATTACTTGCATTCCTAAACATCAAATGGGGAAGATCCAAACAAGAAATACAAAAACGAATCGAAATATTTATCATTTTTAAAAACATTGTAATAGAATTTAGTAGTTGTGCAGTGAAGGAGAACACAGGTGAGGACAACCGAATTATATTTAGCACAAAATTACAGAGTTACTTGGTAAAATAGAAAAAACATACTACGATACTTAATTTGCAAAACGTTCAATAATTGCCCCAAACTTCGTTGTTCTTGCATTTCCATACTAATTGCTTTCTATTCCCACTTCCTTTCTTGATCTTACCCATCTTCTGCTGCCAGACATTACATTCCTGGCTTGCGTCATATACTACTTATATCAATATAAGTAGTACGCATCACAGTTGTGATAACTAACTTTTATCCTTTTAGCAGAGAAACTAGATTTTAACTGTTCGTAATTAAGAAATAAAAGTTCTATCAATGTGAATAATTTATAGAGTAGACCTAACTCATAATTGTTAAAGAAAAATTGATTGACAAGTAATATCTATACAAAATTATTATTTTTTTAATTTTGTAAATAAAGCAAACAATAAATAAAACGCGAGAAAAAAACAACCTCCGTTGATTGATTTCCGTCATTCAATTTTCTTTAGATTTAAACTATAAAGTTTAAACATTTTAGCCATAGTGAAATAACTAAATTTTATACTTAGAAAAATAACGGTAAGAAATTTGATATAATCCATTTATAAACTTTTTAATGAAATCAGAGAGTTGTTTTATATACCAGATTTACTTAGATTTATATTATTGGAAAAATTTCAATGAGTTAATGAATACGTATCAGTATACTTATTTATACATGAATGAGTTTATTCGTATATCTATTAAATCATAACAATCAGGTACATATTTGTATATTGTGAAATTAATTGTCTGATGGGGTATTATTAAATTAAAAAGTTTCCCTGATTTCATTTAAACATAAAATTAATCAAACGATTTAGTAAAATAAACATATAAATAGTGGTAAAGGTTTTTTTAAAAAAATGGATTGTTGTTTAGAATGTTTAAGGGATAGGAGCAAATCGTTAGCTGAATTATCAACTTAGGAAGATATTTTGATCACTATTATTTAACAATAAGTCGTGGAACCAATTATTTCTGCTTATATATATATATATATATATATATATATATATATTAGTTGTCAAAACATATCATCGATAAAAACCGGTTTATTTGACTTACAGGAACTGGTAATATTCAAGATTAAATCCTTGTCAAGCAGAAATCAAATAGTTTTCTTAATACATTATGAACCTCATTCATTTGTATGTAAGGTTTCATTGTTTCTTTTTTTTCTACTTTTATTAATGTAAATACATTGAAAAAAGCCTTTAACATATACAGGTAATAAAAAAGGGTTAACCTTAATTGTAACCAAATTAAAGCCCCAAATTATTTCTATCTTTCTAATCGATTATTCGGTTACTGAAGTTTCTGTGACTTAGATAATAGATTGAACTTTTCGAAGTTATTTGAAATGAATATAAAAAACAATAATATTAAAATAACAGTTTTAATTTGTAATAAATATTATATCACATGTGATTTCTCAGTTTAAAAAAGATAATTATTTCTAAAAACAAAAACTTGTTTTACTGAATTTTTATTTTTGACTGATGTATTACACTATGATAAGTGCGGAACAACTCGACAGTGCGCATCCACGATCTCGTCCTGCGAGATTTGAATCCGGGATCTATCAGTCTCGCGTACGAACGCTTAATCTTTACACTAATGAGCTGGTATCCAACGGTGTTAACGTCTAACTTCAACTAATCTACGAAATTGAGCTATAATCCACCATTGTCTTCAGTGAGTTACTGTCTCACAAGAGACCTTGTTGAACTCCACTGGTCATTACTTCTTACTTCTTTAGTAAACGTGACTTTTGGAATGACTATATTCGACAGTTATTTTTCTTTATTAAGGTACTTCGTCATAAATATATAGTGTTTCAAATAAATTTACTACTATCTTATTTAATGAGAATAATGTATACACAGTAAACGATTACTCTTCAAGGAAAACGTTAGTTGAGATAAACTGTATCAATTAATCCAGTCTTTAGGATTTATCTTAATGTAGTTACTTTTCTAATTTAAAATCGAAACACATTTGTAGTATAGGTGGTGGTACAAAATATATGAAACATATAAATTCACATGGTATTGTCTAATGAATCTTCTCATTGATGTTTAGGACTGAAATTGATCAGTCTCTTATTGTCATATGTACATACTATGCTTATTGCCTTAATTCACAAGCATTATAATCAGGGATGGATAGTGGCTGGCAGTGGAATCTAGGATGCACAAGTAATTGGCTATCAGGACTCAGTGGATAAAGCGATGGTGCTTGAAGCGAACCGTACCAGACAGGAGTCCCAGAGTGAACATCAACTGTGCGATGCAGGTACATCCAGCTGATGAGTCTTGAATAAGAAAAAAAACGCGTGCTGGATTCCACTGCTAGCCGCTATCCAACTTTACTTACGAAACAGATATTTCTGAAATCCATTATTGGAAAATAAAATACTCTGCATGTGAACACGATACGTGGAAAACCCCTGAAAATTCATTATATAACCGTAAGCATTATTTCAGTTATTTTATCAGATAAGAAAAATGATATGTCACTAAAATCTGTAATACCAACCTGTCCAAATACCACATTAATCTAAATCTCTTTAGATTTACCCATTTTCTATTTTTTATATACATTCAATAATGAATGAAAATGTTATGTTATGTTTAGCGGTAAAAATTAAAATGTTTCATCGCTAGATTTAAATCGGAAGGACTGTTTAAAATTCCCAGACGATAAGCAAAAACTGTATTCACTACAAGATAGAAAAAAAGATAATTATAATTTTACTAAAATCAGATATTTGTTGGAAACAAAGTAGGTATCATATATGTTAGGATAAAGAAATGTTCTTTGATACAATATTTACTTAACAGTAGATTTTGTTTCCATAAAAAATACCAAGCTAATTAGTAGCTTTACATATCTAAAATAAATTACATTGTTTAGCGTCATGTTATCAAGCCTACTGACTACATCATGTTTCATAATTATTGCTTGTATCACAGTAATGAATCTATCGGGTCAAAGAAAGCGACGTTTATATGTCGGATAAAATTCAAACAGTGATCTTATTTTCAGTCACTAAATGAAGTAATAAGCGGAAAATATCGTTATAGATTACTTATTATACTTTAGATTGTTTACAAAGAGTTTATTGTATCCATGTATTGTGTACATGAAATAAGAGAAATGCATTATATGTGTTGTCAACATTATTCAATTAGGATTAGCGGTATTTTTTACTCAAATCTACTTACGCATATGAAAGGATAG